GACTCAAACATTCATTGCGCTTATAAAGCCCCGTTCATAACCAGATCATATACACTTTGGGTCCTAACCTTGCTATTGGGAGATTGTGGTTCTTGATATATTTTACAAGTCCAATCTGGTCTTGAATTGACTGAACGTTCACATTATAAGGGAAAGTTGTAAAGGAAAGAACAGTTCTGTATGGGTAATGAATCTTTACCTCTGTTAATTTGAACTTTAATATCATAAATATATCATCCTTTGTCCCCTGAAGATTGCATTTAATGACGAAGCTGTTATTTTACTCGTTCCTCGTAGAAAATCTGGTGGCCTTTTAAGATTCCAGAAGACCAGCTGTTTTTAATCACTGTAGGTTCTGTCTGGGTCAGAAGTTAAACAGGTTCAGGTCTGCTTGGATGGGGGACCCCAAAGCAGTAGAAACTGAAGAAAATATCCCAGAAAAAGTCAGTGGCAAAATTTTGTACTACATAGACACGATTATGTCAGATTCGTCTTCAAAAAGAATTTATCTTTGCCTTCTCCTGTTGATTTGGTGTCTGTTTGTGTTTAAATCATCCAGGAATCCAGAAGCAGAGATGAACCTGGAGCGTGCAGTACATATATTGCAAAGTGAAAATCCTTTGTCCCCTCGAGTTCTTTCAGCAATTGTTTTTATACAGCACGAGAGCTTTCAGAGAGCAGAAGCCAGAAGGAAAGTGAGTGATACTTTTTCTTTCTTTCTTCAGATTTTCAATACTTCTTGCCTATAAAGTCTTGTATACGGAATTGGTGGAAGAAAATAATGTGCAGAAACGAATGGGAAAACATCCTGGAAGAAATCCTTGGTGGATATTAACTCATTTAGCTCCAGATGAGCCCTGTTTTCTCAAAGGAATGCATGTAGAAGGGAAGATAGGAGCAGACGTGAAACAAATAAGAAAATTAATTTTCAGGAGCAGTCGACCGAAATAAGCCCGTATTGATGCCTAGACAAACTTGGCTATTTTGGGAAAACTAAACAGTGTTGGATATGGTTGATAATTGGGATGGAACACTTGCCATAAAATATCAAAATAATAGGCTAGATTGGCCATATAGGTAGTCCTTGACTTATAACCACATTTGGTACAGAAATTTCCAACGTAAGTTGTTGCACCGTAGATCAAGTCAGACCCAATTTTACAACTACGTTTACATCAGTCGCGAACTGAATTGTGCAGTTGTTAAGCAAATCCAACTTTCCCAATGGGACTTTTTTGCTGGAAAACAGCAGAAACGGTTGCAAATTATGATCCCATGACTGTGGAATACTGCAGCCAGTTGTACAGTAAATGTGATCCAATTTCCAACTACCCAAATTGTGTTCCCATGACGACAGGGGTAGTGGAATGAGTCAATGAGTTGTAAATGACAGTACAAGTCAAAAGTAACATTTCTACTTTGACTACAGGTAACTTGGACCTGTAGTTAAATGGTCTTAAGTCAAAGACTACCTGTAGATAGAGGAAGGAATTTGGCAAATTATTTGTTGCCAAGAATTTATAGGAGGCTAACTTGAAGGAGATTTTACCTCTTTATTTGTAAGTCTATCTCCTATATATTCTGCATACAGTGTGTTGTAGTATGTATGTATGTAGACAGAGAGAAAGAGAGACAGAGAGAGGAATGTATTTACATGTATTTTGGGGGTACCTTAATTAATTGATAAAAAGAGGACTCCTTAATACATTCAAGCTAAAAAAAAGACATAAGAACAAGACAGTGGATTGGGTTTGAGATTGAGATTGGAATTGGGATTGGGAGTTTCAGATCCAAGTATCCATTCATCCTCAGAGCTCACTGGGTGATTTAAGGCCTATCAGCCTCTCTTATTCTAATCTAGTACCCATGGTTGTGGTAAGGATAGAATAGCATGAGGTAAAATCTCATTAAAGTGTCTTAAATTCATTTGGGGGGGAGAAAGAATGAGGTATAAAAACTAAAATAAGCTTGGTCTTACCCCCAAAAAACAACATTTTACTCTAGTGATTAAAAACGATAACAAAAAGCCCATGGCCATCTGTTTTGCCACATGATATCCCAGAGAACAATCTGTATATTCATCCTACNAAAAAAAACATCTGAAAATCATCTCATGCACATTATATCTGGTGTATTTTATTCTCTAACTTTTATTCTGCAATATTTATTAGGAAGTAAGCCGGGTGGAATACCAAAATATTAGTCCATTAAATGAACAGAATTTACACTTCCAGGGCGAATGTCCCTCTTAACTACCGTATTTTACAGAGTATAAGATGCCCCATTTTCCCCCCCAAAAAGAGGGTGAAAATCTGGGTGCATCTTATACACTGAATACAGCAAAAAAAAAACCTTTCACAAAAATAGACATGGAGAGGGTTTGGGAGGCCTGCAAAGTGCTCCTGGGGACTGGGGATGGCAAATACAAGCGAAAACCAGACCGTTTTCTGCTCATTAGCCTCCTCCCCTAGCCCCAGGAGGACTCTACAAGCCTCCTAAAGGCTATGTATGCCCTTTTGGGGGGGCAAAAAATGGGCCGTTTTTTACTCATTTCCCACCACCACCACCACCACCTGGGCCCCAGAAGCACTTTGCAGGCCTCTCAAACTCTCTGCACGCCCTGTTTTTCACGAAAAGTGAGGTGTGCAGAGGGTTTGGAAGGTCTGCAGAGTGCAAAAACTGCTTTTTTAAAAAATTTACCTCTTCAAAATCTTGGTGCATCTTATACTCTGGTGCATCTTGTACTCCGAAAAATATGGTATTCATTTTTCGAGATCAAGAAAAGACGAAATCCTATGTAGGCTGCTATGATAATGGAAGACTGAAGAGCTGTATCAGTTCCTCCTGTCTAGCCTATTCCAGCTTGCCTTGTAGCCCTTTCCAGATGTGTGGGGGCTGCGGTTCCCATGGTCTTAAGCCATCCTATCTAGTAATTCCAGGAGTTCATATATCTGGAAATAATAATAGGCTTCATTCGGGCAGTCTACTGAACTTGGTGGAATTGATTAGGAGAGAGAAGAAGATGTCAGAGAAAAATTTAGACTATCGCTCTTGGTTCTGGCTCCACACACTGCTGATTTCAGGCCCATCCACCCTTGGTATGTGTTTTTCTCAGGGGAAGCAAAACAGGCCCAAGAGAAGAACTACAGTGAAAACAGAAAGGTCTCATTATTGGCAGGCTAACAGCGGTCTTCCCTGAAACGGCATTGCTTCTTTTGAAGCTCAACCCAGCAAAGGCTGGGAAGAACAATGCCTTTACATGCCTCAGCCATCAACCACAGACAATGAAAAAGGGTCCCATGACCCTTTGCAATGCAGCGATAACAAGCTGAGGAAAACGCTGGGCTCAAAGTTCAAGCCAGACTTCTCATCCCACTCGCTGGAATGATGACAACCTCTCTTCAGCTTAATCACAATTGCAAATTAGGCAGCCCTGTGATGGTGATGGGGTGGGCGGAAAGTTGTAGAAAGATTCATAGCGTTACCGTTTGATTAGCACCTCTATGGATTGTGTAGCCCCTTACGTCATTGTTCAGGAATGTTTGGAGCCTGGCAGAAGACGATATAAATCCTGTTAAAGAGATTGCTCTTTTTGCATGCTCGCCTTTAGAGATGTTTTTGAGTCATGTTAAAATCTTATCGTTAGGTGGTGGGCAGAAGTCTCTTGTTATCCGACGCTCTGCATTTTAGAGGTTTAGAAATAAGAGTTAAAATCTTGCACAATAAAAGTGCTTGAAATACAATGGTTTGCTTGTTCTCAGTTATCTAAATAGCCCCAACAATTTTTTTCTGGTGAAATTTCCTTCTCAAAATTGTGGATTGTTTCTCTTATCAATGTTTCTTAATCGTTTATAGTCAGGTATTGTATCTCGACGTTGTTATGTAAGAATATGAGGAAGAACTTGTACAATTATTACAGAGTCCTGTAATCCTGTAAGAGTGCAGAGAAGAGCAACAAAGATGATTAGGGGACTGGAGGCTAAAACATATGAAGAACNGATTTGCCAGTCCTAATTAAGGTCATTAATCAAGGACTATCTTTAAACATTTAAATTATGATGTCTGGACTCTCCCACAAGCATGGTTAATGATTAGGAGAAATGTGCTAAGCCACATATTGTCAGAACATCTCAGATGGTTTTTCTTGACTGAGTTTGGTCATTCAGTAAGTTTGTTCTTTAAGAAAACCTTTGGGCAGTATAGTATCCTTAACTCGAGACACTGATTTCATCCAACAGTCAAATAATCCTTTGAGACAAAAACTTATCCATATAAAAATAAATACTCTTATCTTCACAGGTCTATTCTCTAGTTGGTATTCCCAAACTTTTAGAGCTTCTGAATGTGCAGAATGAAGAAGTACAAAGGGCAGCGTGTGGAGCTTTAAGGAACCTGGTATATGAAGACAACGACAACAAATTGGAAGTGTCCGAGCGGAAAGGCATTTCAATCCTGCTGAGATTACTGCGACAAACCAGAGATGTGGAGACTAAAAAGCAAATTACAGGTAACTAATAAGAAACGGTTTCATAGTGCATACAGATTCTAAACCTGATATCCTGGTTTATTCTATTTTATTCTATTCTATATTCTATACACATGTTGTGCTGAGTTTAGTATGGGTTGTTCTCCAGTATCTCATAAAGCTTGGGAGTACAATTTTTTATATTATGACTTATCCATCTTGTTTGTATTTTAAATAATTTATTATTTTTAAAAATACCCTGTGTAAGTTACATAACCATACAATGAATTTTAGGTTTTCAAAAAAAAACATCTGAAAATCATCTCATGCACATTATATCTGGTGTATTTTATTCTCTAACTTTTATTCTGCAATATTTATTAGGAAGTAAGCCGGGTGGAATACCAAAATATTAGTCCATTAAATGAACAGAATTTACACTTCCAGGGCGAATGTCCCTCTTAACTACCGTATTTTACAGAGTATAAGATGCCCCNGACTAGCACATATGTGTGAAGGGAACCTTTACCTTTATATAGTACTGAATATGAGAAGTATCAAGTAGCCTGCCACTGAGGCCATGGAAACCTTATAATGAAAAGGTGCTGAATTTAAACTCATAGACGTATAAAATGTGGACTTCAGCTCAATATCAAAGAGCAATCAACTGGTTGAAGGAACTACAGGTAGGACTTGACTTACAACAGTTTGTTTAGGAACCGTTCGAAGTTGCAATGGCGCTGAAAAAAGTGACTTATGACTGATTTTCACATAACTGTTGCGGCACTCCCATAGTCATGTGATCAAAATTCAGATGCTGACTGACTCATAATTATGACAATTGTAATGTCTTGGGGTCATGTCAGAAGGTCCCTTTGGCATCCTTCTGACAAGCAAAGCCAATGGGGAAGCCAGATTCACTTAACAACCCTGTTACTAAATAAACAACTGCAGTGATTCACTTAATAAATGTGGCAAGAAAGGTCGTAAAATGGGACAAAGCTCAGTTATCAAACGTCTCACTGCGCAACAGAAATGTTGGGCTCAATTGTGGTCATAAATTGAGGACTACCTCTACAGCATTCAGTACAAGTCATTTGCTTAGTTGTATCTTGCTGATTTTGTAGGAAGTCAAGCCAAGAGGAGTTTGGCAGCTAGTAATAACCAATTTGTTTTGTGCAGTGAATTTCATAAGTTAATGACTTCATATATGATTATTAAATTAATATTGAGAAATCATCCCCACCCTGGTGTTTTCTTAAAAGAGCATTGCACATGGATTTCATATATGAAGAATGAGGCACTACAATATTGTTGTGGGATAGTCTGTGGCTTAAATATTCACTTTATGAACTAATGTCACCTTTATTTTGTAAAGCTGGCTAAATCTGATCCAAACTATTAGACATATTCTTGTCTTTGAACATTTATTAATAATCTTTCATGGAAGCCAATGGGCTGCCTTATGATCTTGCCCAAAGTAGACGGTATCTTGGGATTATAAAAAGCAATATTAGTGGAAACTTACAAAAACAAGAGACTTACAGAATGGGAGGAGGAGGATCATATTGAATAGAATAATTAGAACAATAACTTTATTGTCACTTTGAATGTACACTAATCCGCATACATTAAAATGAAATTTCATT